ATATATTAATATCATCGGTCATATAAAATTACACTTCCAGCGGTTAATTCTATGTTTTCCTCTTTTTCCCTGATTTGAAACTTTTTATTTTGAAAAATCATAACCCAGTCTAAATGTGCCCCCCCCCTCAAGAATTCAATACCCATTCAAAATGTGTCCCCTCAAAAATTTTTATGGCGCAAGTAGCCCATAAAACCCCCTTGCGGGCACCCCTGGGAGTGGGGCAGTATTAGCTGTAATAGCAGTTCACAGAGATAAATATAGACAAAATAAATACATAGAGTATTATAATGCTCTAATTATATATTTTATAATATATAATATCCTCTAATAAGCATATCCTATAATTTTAGGAAAATTCATTAACCTTTTCCATTTTGTTTTGTCTGTTTTAAACCGCTGACCCATAACTGGCGGCGAAATCTGGGATTACGAGTAGGCGGGAAAAAGGTATCTCTACTATAGACTATACAAAAAAACAAAAAAAAAAACAGAATTTTAAATCTGTTTTAAAAGAACTATTACTTAGGTGATGATTTTTGAACAACTATGTCAAATCAACATTTTCAACAAATATTTTTAGAGTGAAAAAGTGTATTTTAGCAATTATTATATAATACAAAGCATTTCATGTCACAAAAAATAAAAGGTTTGTAGTAATTTCTAGTAAATAATTATTTCTGCTAAAAACACTGTAACTTTAAGGGAGATAGAATCGCACATCATATATATATATATATATATATATATATATATATATATATATATATATATATATATATATAAAACTGGAGATAAATCTCAGCTTATTCTCTGGCAAACCGACTTTCCATTCTGGTTGAGAGAGGGAGAGAACGGACCTCACCAGAAAAGGTTTTCGGGAGTTTATATTAGGTATAAAAATTATGAATAAAAATTAACATTATCAGCATGATTATAGTAATACAAACAATATAATACCACATATAAAAATAAACTCAAATATATATTTATATATTGGTTTTTTTTTGCGTGTTTTATTTGAAAGTGTGTTAACAACCAATTAAATATATTACACATTTTTATCTTATTTAAAAGTTTAAGACAGTGAGATGAACTCTCAATGCTCCGATGCTTCAACTTTGCCGCAGGAATCTTCACGTAAGGATCCACATGAATAAATCATATAATCTTAGGATATGTTGCTAGATATAATAATACTCAAATCTCGATCACCCTTCTCACCTCCCTAAAAATCTGCGCCTATGCTCAACAGAATTAATATAGGCTGAAAGCTTATTAAACAAAGAAGTTTTTCTCGATGTAGGAAACCTTTAGTTCTGCAGGAGGCTGATTAAAACAAAAAAATTGTGAATAATCAATGATTTTATGAAAAAACAGAACTTATCTTAGTGCAATCGCTTAAATTCTCCCTGACAAAGGTTTAAACGACGACAATCTAATTTCATTACTAACTTTCATCTGACTCATCAGATTAACTGACTTTAAGTGTACTTTCATCTGAAAATATTTTTATCCATTTGACTATGCTGAAATTGGCCATTACCCAGATTAAATACTTGTTGATTTATAAATTCCTGTTCAACAAAAATTTGACACTTCAAAAACACGAAATTGAAATCGATGTACCTTCTGAGGTCTAATGTTACCTCTTTAAATATGCCCCATCATTACATATATATATATATATATATATATATATATATATATATATATATATATATATATATATATATATATATATTAAAATTTGACATAGGTCTTCTAATTAGATTCAACCTAATATAAATTGCTTGTTTTAAAAGGATTCAGCTGCTACGTTAAATTTCATCGACAAACCATAGAAAAAAAAATAATAAAGGTCAGGGATCCTTTCAATTTTCTGGTATGTCTGCTTGTTTTTTTAATTGACATTTTTATTTATTTTTTTGTTAATCACTGACAAATAAATTGAAGTCAGATTTTCAAAATTGAGACGCAATTATCTGATTTAATGGCTAATTCTTAATTTGTACTGTAGGATAATATTTCGGACTCACTTTAAACAAATTCTGTAGTGGTATACATTAACATTTGTTTTTTAAACATTAATTTTATTAAATATTAAATAAAACCTTTTGTCATAGTTGTAATATTTGAATTTGAAATCAATATTTAAAAGCTTAGTGACAATAGGGTAACATTATTTTTTCATAAACAAAAATTGAGAAATTTACAGTAAATAATTATTAAATTATTACCACTATACATACTTACTTTACTATACATACTATAATAGCAACATTAGCACTATACATCTACTTTCATAATGCCTTTTCCAATACTCCCGATTCCAAATCCAAATGGAAAATACCCCGTAACCTATCCCTACCAGAATCCAATAAACTCAGTTTCATCCAGGTGACTCCAGATGATCTCAATGACCATCTCTTATCCTTCACTCACAATTCTTCTCCTACTTTCGAAATCAAACATCATAATTTCAATCCGGAAGACTTCTTTTACTCCCATGTATCCTACTGAATTACTTTCCACTATCCTAAAATCCCACACTAATGATTATGGTCCTGATAATATTCCAGCGAAACTTACAAAATCCAGCCTTCCTGTCCTTATTCCTGTTCTTTACCATATCTTCAACTTTTCATTGAAAAACTCCATATTCCCATCATCCTGGAAAACTGCCCTAGTCCGACCTTTGAATAAAATTTCAAACCCTACCTCACTGCACGACTTCTGACCTATTTCTCTACTTTCCAACTTTTCAAAGCCTTGTCCAAAATCAACTCTCCATTTTCCTAGAAGAACGTTCCCTTATCAACCCATTCCAATCTGGCTTTCGACCTGGTTACTCAACGCAATCCGCTCTCCTTAAAATATCCGATGACCTCCAAAACTCCTTTTAACACTAAAACCTTACTACCCTCATCCTTCTAGATTTTTTCCTAAGCGTTTGACACAGTTGACCATAACATCCTCCTCACTAAATTGCACAATCTTCCTCTATCCAACAGTACCCTTCATTGGTTCAAATCCTACCTTTCAAATAGGTCCCAAGTTTATCAAATTAGAAACTATTGTAATATTTAAAATATATAAAGATATATATCCTTTTCCTTCATAAAATACTTTATTTGTCTCATTATTCTTTGTCAATTTAAATACCTACTAAGAAGAAGAATTTTTATTCCTTTAAATAATTAGCATATAATATTTACAATTAGTTAAAATTTTGACGTTTATCTTAAGGTATTGCAACGTGCCTTAATGTATTTTCTAGGTTCAACTTAATAATAATAATCCGTACATATATTATTACAGCAAGGCTCGAAATCGGTTTTGTACCAAATATAAGCTCCTGTCATGCTCAAATACCATAAATGGGGTACCGTTGGATTCAGAATTTCACGGGGGGTTAGCGAATCGTATTCTCCGCTTTTGTTTTTCTTTCTAAAATAAATAAAGTTAATACAAACATTTTGCTAGGCTTCAATACTGGAACGGTGGTAGGTCTGTAGATCGATGCGGGACCAATTGAACCTTGAAGATTTTGATGCGTACAGCAAAAACTGTGTTTTTAAGCCCAAAAACGTACTATTTTCGAGATAACGCAAGGCATGGGGTTCGCATCCACACAACCTGACGTTAATTGTAGTACTGTCATTGGATACATGTCTTATTTCGTCGACTTGAGGTCTCTATGATCGAGACAGGAGGAGATATTATTTATCGACGGTGTTTTTGATCGGCAAGCCATATCATCGTTAGTTCTTCACCAAATCTCAAGATTGAGCCACCAATTTCGAAGGCTTCCTTCTCCTTCAGGCGGGCAAAATAGTCCAATCACCCCGAAAATTCAGGCAAACAAGTTATGAAAGAAAATAAACTTTATTTGCGAATAACTAAAAAATTACACACTTTTCCCTCGGTTATTCCCATGATTATATAAAACATTACTAATTGTCTACAAAAGGAATTTTTATATATGTTGGTTCCAAACAAAAATGAAGATTTAAATTAAGTTTGTTCCCTTTGTCGATTATATTTATGGATAAAGTAACAATTGATTCCTTTATCTTTTGATACGTTGCATTATTTTATTTTCTTATTAATTTGGCATTTGATAAGAATATGCTGTGCGAATTTTTCGCACGGACCTACTAGTATAGTATAAATAAAAAACACTATCATAGGAACTAGTGTAATTCCATTTAATTATTTGTGTTTTCATAGTGTCCGAAATGTCTAAACGTACCTTTAAATTATGAGGATGAAAAATAATGAGGATTTTCAGAGGTTTAATGCATTATTAGCCTTGCTTTATGCATACGTCTTAATGATTATATTTAGTTGTTTGTACTAATCATTTATTTTTAATACTAATATACTTTTTTATTTAACTTTTTTCTTTGGCATACTATTATGTATATACTGCCATTAAGTTTATATTAATATTACCTTATCTGTACTTTTCATCTCTTTATCTTGGTTTATTTACATGCTTCTACATGTACCTTATTTTCCTTATGTGATTTTTTAATGTTTAGCTGTGATGATGACATATGCTTGGGCCGAAACGTCAGCAAACCATATAAAGGCTACAATTGCTGATCATTTGTCATCCTCATAATAAAAATCATATAAGTTAAACACCATGCGAAAAAATAGTCACCGCGTATTTTCTTTATAAAACTTTAAGAGTAACTAAATAATAAGAAATTATTCCTGATTTGATATGTTATTGATAAAAATTAAATTAGCAGTATTACTAACAACAAAAATATTACATTAGTAAAAAAACACCTAATAATGTTTTTAATATATTTTAAAAAAATTCAGACCCTCGTAATCAAATCAGTTTTCACGTTAATGATGTTTTTCTAAAATCAATGACTGCTTATGTTTTTTTATTTCTATATGCTTTTTACATTTTAATTGGACGAAGTAACCTTTACTAGAATGTTGTTTTTTTGTGACTCAGGTAGGACGGCCGCTGAGGAGGGAACTTGCCTCAGTAGAGCTGCCGACTCCGTTGTAGCCGGGTTATTACGTAACCAACAGGTGAATATAAGTTTTACTTACTTTAGTTTTATTATTATATATTATTTAGTGAATATAATACCCACTCTTTATACCTCTAAATATACATACTTATTAACATCTTTTAGTATTTTTCAATTAAGTCAATACCAGCCTATAAGAAAAAGTGTTTACAGAATTATTTAGTCTACAAAATGTTGTAATTTTTTATTATTTAAAAAAAAAACCAGTAATGACACAATTATATGCTCACAGAATATGGACACAATTATATATTATATCAATGAGATTTTTTACAGATAATTTAAAAAAACGAAATCCTTTATATTTTTTTATTTTCTGTGTTCGTTTGATTCTTTTTTGAAATCACTCTTTGACGGCAGGAATACGCTAAAGTGCAAAAATGTAACAAAATCAATATAAAATATTTAAACAAAACCAAGTGGTGAACAGGGAATCATAATATGAGAATTTGGATGAATAAAATAAAAAATATACATATATTCATATAAATATATTATTCATAATGTCAGAAAGTGTTAAAAAACTAAGGATAGAAGATAGCTACATTTGTGACACTGAATTTAAAATCAATTACATAACATTGGAGATATCCTAACCTATCCATTCCAGTCTTTCATTTTTTCGAGCAATTCATCTAAGTACATAATACAATAATATCATTGAAACGTAAACAGTAGAAACAAACAAAAGTTAAATAGGGCTGTCAATTGAAATGCCGGTATGGTTTTCAATTTGACCTGATTAATCATTAATATCCATTGGACTTTAGCATAATATAAACCAAAACGAAAATTTGGTTTCAATTCATAGATAGAAATTGAATGATCGTATTATCATTAATACGTTTCAAACAGCGTACTAATAGATAATAATTAAAGCGTAATTTTGTCAATAAATTATGTAATAATTTATTTTAAGATTTATATATATATATATATATATATATATATATATATATATCGAACAATTACTTTATTTATTATATAACTAAATATACATTATTATTACATAATAAATATTCAGAATACAAAATATAAAACGGAAATGAGGTGAAGAGGGTACGTTGATGCACTTACAAAGTGCATTCTGGGTTTAACGAATAAATATCATCAGCATACACACATGTTATAGTTTTATTTGTTCTTATATTTACTTACATTTATGTATGCGTAGAATAAACATGGTTTGTTTATATTTTTTTAATAACTTTGGCATTATTAATTAATAATATTATGCTAATAATTATACTATTGTTAATTTTAATTGTTTTAATAAATTACTTGCTATCTTATTTCATTCAGCATTGGATTTGAAGATGATTCAAGTTCATTTTTCGGTCTAAATTATTTTTTCCAAAAACTATTAACAATTTTATCTTACCACTATATTTAATAGAGGCCTTATTATGCACCAGCGAATCCAAGATTTAAGTTTTCTTTTATGTTCATACAATAAACGATAATAACTTTGGAAGAAAAAGAAAGAAATTAACTAACTATATGAAATGGAGTAAGTCCTACTAAATGTAATTACACGAACAATAATATTTTTAAAGATAATTTTTTTCATGAGACATGGTTACGTTTTAACATTTTAGGGGAAAAGGGGGCTCTTCAGCTGGAAAGCTCCTCCCTCCTCTCGTAGTTATGTTATGTAATCAACAAGGCATATCTTATTAAGATTCAATTAAATTTATTTTAAAATAAAATAAAGGAATGTTGTTTTGTTGTAATAAGAACTATAGGCTACTATAAAAAGATTTAATTACGTAAACCTAATTTTTTAAATTATAAATAAGATTAATTCATTATAAAAATTGTTTTAAGTTTAAACTTAATTTGGAATTAAGACCATGCGAAAACGACTAAAGTAAGCTCCGATTCCGCCGTCGCCAGTATGATTACGTAACTGACTTGTTATGAAAAGTGGTGTGGTTAAGATATTTTAACAATTTATAGTCAATACAATTTTACTATAAAAATAAACTTCAATTAAATGTTTGCCAAGTCCGAAGATATCAACTTCGATCAAGTCCTCCAAGGTCAGTTGAGCGAATAGACTTACTCAGTCTGTTAATTGAGATACCTCACCTTGCCTCAATTTACCTAAATCTCTAACCACTATGAGTGACCGCTTCCCGCTACACAAACTGGATGTAGCTATGGCACAAGACATTGTACCTAAATATATCTATGTCGCTAGGAGTAAATATTTTATCAACTAAATTTTAATACTGTATTGATTTCATCACATCCACAATAGTTTGAAAAAAATAAACAAACATTTATTTCTAATATGGAATAAAAAAACATGTGTTTCACAAACATACATTAACATGCAAACTAATTGAACAGTAATCAAATATCATTCGTATATTTAATAGTACGAATACAAATTTTGTTGTTTATCTTTAGAAAATATAGAAGGAAAAAAAAATCAATAAATTTTTTTAAATGTTATATAAATTTCAACTCGTCCATTATATGTTGGTCTTACTGCTTAATGCATTTGTTTTTCTTGGTGAAGATAATTTTAAACAAGTGCATTTCTTTTAGAACGCAAGGTGAGAGATCGGAATTAAATATTATCTTAGGACTTCCTTTTCAACAGAACTGTTACGTAACAAATAAAAGCACTTAATTTTACTTGTTTATGTAAGAAAGAAAATTAAATAAATGTCATCAAATTCTGGAGATGATATTTATTTGGTATTCTCTCCTCTATTTTAATTACTAATAATATATAACAAATGATGAAATCTGATTTAAAATTAATTACTTTTAATTTTAACTTATTTATTGAAAAATATTACAATCTGTCTCATAGGACAAACATTAATTACTAAAAATAATATTAATATTTTATAAAGTTCCTTTTTTTTTTACAAATATTCTTTGTGTTTTTTAAAGTAACTCTTTATTATTTTTTTTTAAATCTTCACTTCTAAGTAATTCCAAAAGATGAAATGTGAACTGTAGGTTGCCTTAGAACTCAATTTTCCTATTACATTTTGATTCGGAAGAAATTATCTGTTTTCTTTCTATCCCAATATAATAAAAAAATGAGCAGAAGATATTTATATATTTACTTATCTTTCAAAGGTATCATTAGTACATGAAGATAAATAACGATGGCCTTGACAATTCTTTCAATTTTTTATTACTTATCATCTCAGATTAAGTTACTCATTATCGAAGCATTGTAATCTTTTTATATATATATTTTTTTCCACTGATAAATTAATTATACAGTTTCTTTGTTTCAATCATATTGACTGTTTGAAAATCATATTATATATTCAGTTATATCTTCCATGTTAAAAACATGCATCAATAATAAAACTAGGTCATCTTTATTTATCTTCTTTTAATATTACATATTTAACATAAAATCTGACTTTCAACAAGTGAAAAATGAAAACTGATCTTAAAAATCTTAAGAGTTAGCTGGAAAATAGTCCCCATGCAGTGTGTAGGTGCTTCTGTCTGAAGCCATACTTGAGGAATTGAAGTTACGTAACCACAGAAGAAAAACTGGAATTTATTTTTTTAATATCCAGTTTACAGCGCCATTGCAAATGGTCATCAGGAATTATAATAGGCAAGCCCACAACTTTTATGTTTTAGGTCAAGAATTTTTACTAAAAGCGATCATGTAACTCCAGTTTTTTAATAAACATAACCTTGAATGCCTGCGAAGGATTTTCCAAGTGAATTAAATACATATTTCATTACAAAATTTTCTTTTATAATTATAACAGAATTTGATTAATTTTAAATAGATGGACACACACACACACACACACGCGCGCGCGCGCGCGCGCGCATATACACATACACATTTCTTTCCTGTCAATTATACGAGAGAAAATTACATCAAATAATTATGTCAATACAGTTGGACGGAAATAAATACCTAACGACTAGACTACAGTCCAATTTCAGTTATCCAAACCTCGCTAATTCAAACACTCCAGTAATCCGAACACACCAACAAATTTTAAACAATAAATTTCGAAGACGGACGCTTGCCTAGATGAATTTAATTTCAATACTCACCTTCATTTATAAAAGTAGAATGAGAATAAAGCTTAAATTTAAACATAGAGTTTTTCGTTTGAATTACTGTATTCGATGGACTACAGCGAACCGTACATCGTGTCAACAAATAATTCTACAACATCTAGGAGAAAAAAACAGTGAGAAAAACGTCCAAAAAGTCAAAACAGAGACACATAACTGATTGTGAGTAACCACATTAAATAAATAAATTGATTCTTACACACACAGTTTCAAGTTAGTAAATGCATATTTATATATTTATTGAGTTTTAATCTTTTATTGTTCCAGCTTTATAATTCTAACTTTTTGGCACTCCGAAAAAATACCTTCACCCATTATTTCGAATTACTCAAATTTCGCTATATTTACCATATTATAAATTTTGGCCTGACTTTACATCATAAGTCCATAGTTACGACTTACTGAATATTGAGGAAGTGAAACTTCATTCGAAAGTTTTGATAAAATATACCAAGGTATTGAGTTTGCTACACAATTAATAGACTAAATAACTGTTTGGTGGATAATGTAATATTAAGAAATTGTTGAGGAGATATTATGCATGAAAAGATTATATAATGAAAATAAAAACTATAATAAGAACAAAGCTTGGTCAATCTGGATTGACCTGTTAACATATTGCTCATGCAATGCTTTATTTTTTAAACTTTATCTGAATAGCAACAAGTATTACCTAAATAAAAATATAGTTAAGGAATTCCGTACAGTTCCCACCAACAGAATTTATGGCCGAAAAATAATTATTTTAGTTGTTATAATCAAACTTTTTACCCCATATATTTATTTGCTATTGAATTTCACTATTTTTACTTCTGATCATTTATTTTGAATTATCTATATAGATTTCAACATCAAGATTAGTGTTGATTTAATAGATTCGAAACTTAACAACGTCTGCAATTTTCATAATTGGAT